CCTTTCTCGGTTTGTTTTTAACCATGTAAAAGTTCCTCCGGGCATTGTGGGAGAAAACAACCTGGAAGATGTGAAAGTGAAAGAGAGGCAGAGCCTCATGCTGACCTGTGAAGTAACAGGTAAGGCAAGGTTTATCTTAATTACAGGTGACTTGGCCATTTGTTGGGGCCAGATTAGATGTGATGTGGACAGCCACATTCCTATCTCTGTGTCTGCCCTGTTTATATATGGAAGTGAGCCAAGCCAGCGGGGAAAGTGAATAAAGTAAGTCAATTTGGGAAGTTGAGGTCTTTCTCTGTTCAGCTGCCTTCCCCTCCAACCTTCCAGTTTATCCATTGAACAGGTGAACAAAGGCAGCCTCCTGTTATGTCCACTTTTGACACTTATGTTATGTGCAGACTAAGCAATGTGTTTAGTGGGAATGATTTCTCCCTTGGGCCATTTGTTCCTGAACAATATGCCCAAAACTAACAGACAGACAGATATCAGTCACTCTGTTCTAAAGGGCCATCGATAGGTTAAATTCAAAGTGTGAAGGAAACAAGCAAGAAAGGATTGTGCTTTATATTTCTTCTATGCCGGTCATAATGGTCAATTGCAGGCAAAATACTGACTCTTGCATACCATGGTTTGCAAATGGGGAAGAAGATTCAGGAATTCACACTCCTAGAATTGTAGAGCTTGAAGGACCATGAAGGTCATCAAGTCCAGGAATCTTTTTGCCCAGCGTGAGGCTTGAACCCACAACCTTTCGATTAAGAGTCTCCTGCTGTGTTGACTGAGCTATCCCTCCTCTCCAGTGTGGTGTAGTGGTTAAGAGCGGTAGACTCGTAATCTGGTGAACTGGGTTCGCATCTCCGCTCCTCCACATGCAGCTGCTGGGTGACCTTGGGCTAGTCACACTTCTTTGAAGTCTCTCAGCCTCGCTCACCTCACAAGAGTGTTTGTTGTGGGGGAGGAAGGGAAAGGAGATTGTTAGCTGCTTTCAGACTCCTTCGGGTAGTAATAAAGCGAGATATCAAATTCAAACTCCTCCTCCTCCTCCTCCTCCTCTTCTTCTTCTCTTGAATGATCCCCTCCCTGCATTGCTTAACTTCATAATATCATTTAATATAGGGGCAGGGACTTGCTTTCAGTCCAAGAGGCAGCTTCAAACTTGGCCAACCTTTCAGTGGTCATATTCCAATAGTGGGCAGGGCAAAAAACTCAAACACAATGAAGAATGAACATGGCCTCCAACCATCTATTCCATACACAAACACACAAGTTCTAGACAAACCAACACTATGATCAAAGACCAAAGACTTCCCCTTTTGTTTCCCCTTTTGTATGGAAGAAGGGCTCATCTTTCCTTCTGCAGTGTTACTGAGATTGGAGCTGGCAGATGAAGAAGGAACTGGGAGCAGGAACACGGCTTTCGAATGCTGCAAGCCAAAGGCATTTCAGGTCATTAGCAGCGTCCTTAGAAACAGCAACTTCCCGCTGCTTCCTAGACTGTGCCAAATCTGAATGCGATTCAACATTTTATGGCATAAGATTCCTTAGTTAAGCCAGGGACTGATTCTTAAGCCATGGCTTGCGTAACTGTGCTGTACAAAGCCATGGAAAGTTCAGCTTTGCACAGAAGGGTCCCAAATGTGCTGCGGTAACTGGGATTGGTATTGGATGATATCACACGAGGGACGGGTTGGCAAAATGGAATCACGGGTCAAATGGGGAGGCCTGGCAGCACTGCAGGTTTTATGTTGCATGTTCTCTGTCAGTTGTTGTTGTTGTTTAGTCGTTTAGTCGTGTCCGACTCTTCGTGACCCCATGGACCAGAGCACGCCAGGCACTCCTGTCTTCCACTGCCTCCCGCAGTTTGGTCAGACTCATGCCGGTAGCTTCAAGAACACTGTCCAACCATCTTGTCCTCTGTCGTCCCCTTCTCCTTGTGCCCTCCATCTTTCCCAACAGCAGGGTCTTTTCCAGGGAGTCTTCTCTTCTCATGAGGTGGCCAAAGTATTGGAGCCTCAGCTTCAGGATCTGTCCTTCCAATGAGCACTCAGGGCTGATTTCCTTCAGAATGGAGAGGTTTGATCTTCTTGCAGTCCGTGGGACTCTCAAGAGTCTCCTCCAGCACCATAATTAAAAAGCATCAATTCTTCGGCTATCAGCCTTCTTTATGGTCCAGCTCTCACTTCCTTACATCACTACTGGGAAAACCATAGCTTTAACTATACAGACCTTTGTTGGCAAGGTGATGTCTCTGCTTTTTAAGATGCTGTCTAGGTTTGTCGCTGTTAGTAATCAAGGTTAATGCTGGCACAGTTTCCTCTTGACAAAGTTTCCCAAGGCTGTTTCATTCTCTGGTTACAAGGGCAGCCCTGGTTGACATTAACCTTGGTTTAGCATTGATGCGCATATAATGTTGGGCCATGGTTAAGACAGATAAAGAGAGTGAGAGGGCATTTGTGCTGAGGATGGAAGGAATGGGAAGGAGCTTGGTTCCAGAATTGCAAAGCATAGTATAGAGGGAACCAGTGTTATGTCTACACCAGACAATTGCCAAGATGTATTTTGTAAATACAGCCCACAGTGATTTTTCTCCACCGCAGAATGAGTATAAACTTACTTTGTGGTAGGAAAATGTGTGGACGCAGGTGGCGCTGTGGGTTAAACCACAGAGCCTAGGACTTGCTGATCAGAAGGTCAGCGGTTCGAATCCCCGCGATGGGGTGAGCTCCCGTTGTTTGGTCCCTGCTCCTGCCAACCTAGCAGTCAAAGTGCAAGTAGATAAATAGGTATCGCTTCGGCGGGAAGGTAAATGGCGTTTCCGTGCACTGCTCTGGTTTGCCAGAAGCGGCTTAGTCATGCTGGCCACATGACCCGGAAGCTGTACGCCGGCTCCCTCGGCCAATAAAGCGAGATGAGTGCTGCAACCCCAGAGTCGGCCACGACTGGACCTAATGGTCAGGGGTCCCTTTACCTTTACCTTTCTGAAAATGTGTTGTATATACAGAAGCAAGCTTGGCTGTAGGAAGGTGGGATAGTGGCCAACACAATATGAAGTAACTTAGGACTAAAATAATTCTGCCCTTAAGACAAATGGTTATCACGTTTGCTTTGCAAATGTCCACAGCAAATGTATATCATCTTAGACCAAATTCAAACTGGTGATTAAAAAAAAAAACTGTTGAATTTCACTGAGCTGTTCTGAAGTTATCTACTAATGGAATATAAGGTTGTATTCAGTTCTAGTCCCACTCAGAGTAGACCCATTAAAATTAATAAACATGACTAATTTAGATCCATTAATTTCAATTGCTTAGCTCTGAGTAAAACTTAGTTGGAGACAATCCATGACTTTTTTTGCATTTGATGTTGGGCTCACATCTAACTGCCTCTGCAGACATGTACATAATAGCTCTCTGAAGAAGTGTTCTGTGATTTTTTTAAAAAAATACCCTTACCTACCAACAAAAAATAGTCTGTACCTGTATGCATTATACATATACTGTTCCTCAAATCTATATCTATATCTATATCTATATCTATATCTCTATCTATATCTATATTTATCTATGTATCTCTATCTTTTTCTGATATATAGTTTTCACTTTATATTCTAATTTTAAAGTTTCCTGAACAATGAAGTGTTAGAAGTCATTAACAGATACAAATATATGTTGTTGTTTTTTCTTTATTTGTTTTTAAAAGGGAACCCTATTCCAGAGATCACATGGTTAAAAGATGGGCAACCTTTCCTAGAGGATGACAGCCATCAGTTAATATCCAACGGGCGCTTTCTTCAAGTTACAAATACACAAGTATCTGACACGGGGAGATACACGTGCATTGCATCCAATACAGCTGGAGACAAGAGCAAAACCTTCAGTGTTAATGTACTTGGTAAGATTCCTGTGTGTTTTCCATAGAAGAAGGCAGATCTGTTTCGACGGAATATGTCAGTAAAATATTTTGCATGCAATTTCCCCTAACGTGTTGCACAACTCTATCCCATTCTTAGTGATATATCCACTTTTATACACACCTTTCTATTATATGCATTTTTGTGTACATTGGTCAGAGAACTGAATTGCAAAATTTGGAGAAATCTGAAGCTTGAAGGATGGCTGCATTTTGGTCCACATATTGGACTCTTCCATACTTCTGCTTGCCCTGTGCCTAGAAAGCACAAGTCTGAGAAGTTTTGCCCTTGCCCCTCCACTTTCCCCTGCGACCCCAGCTCTTTAGCACTAAATCAATGCAATTGCTGTTTTTTTTGTTTTCTGATTCAGTGCTAATGGACAGGTTTCCCCAGGGGAAAGTAGCCGGGCAATGGAGGTGTATCAAAGCCCATTGTTTCAGAATGTGTGAATCTGACTGAACCAAATTTCTTTCCCATCACGACATATAGCAATAAAATGTGAATACCGTATTTTTTGCACCATAACACTCACTTTTTTCCACCTAGAAAGTAAGGGGAAATGTCTGTGCGTGTTATGGAGGGAATGCCTACGGGTGGCATGCCTACGGATTTTCCTCCTCTAAAAACTACGTGCGTGTTATGGTCGGGTGCGTGTTATAGAGCGAAAAATACGGTACATTTATATTCAGAGGAAATTCTTAATACAGTGGTACCTCAGGTTACATATGCTTCAGGTTACATACGCTTCAGGTTACACACTCCACTAACCCAGAAATAGTGCTTCAGTTTAAGAACTTTGCTTCAGGATGAGAACAGAAATCGTGCTCCGGCGGCGCAGCAGCAGCAGGAGGCCCCATTAGCTAAAGTGGTGCTTCAGGTTAAGAACAGTTTCAGATTAAGAACCGACCTCCGGAACGAATTTTTCGCTCTATAGGACGCACTGGACCATAGGAGGGGGAGAACAGGAATTTTTTTTTTCTTGTTCTCCCCCTCTAAAACAAGGTGCGTTTTGTGCGTTCAAGGTGCGTTCACCCGAAGCCTCCGGAGCCCAGCGGGAGTTCCCACTGGGCTCCGGAGGCTTTGGGTTCCTTTCGACCTGCTCTTTGGGGCTGGCAGGGGGGGAAGCGCTGCTTTCCCCCACCGCCAGCTCCAAAGACCAAGTCGAGGAGCAGCGCAAAGGCGGCGCTCCGCCTTCCCGCTGCCCCCCGAGCTTGTGGGGCTGACAGTGGGGGGAAGCGTTGCAACCTTTCCCCCACCTTCATACAGCCTTCGTAGCCTCCGCAGGGCAGCAGGGTGAAAGCACCCAACTGTCCTGCTGAGGCTTTGCGCAGCCGCCCACAAGCTAGAACATCGAGATGGAGTGCTCCGCAGCGCTCCGTCTCGCTGTTTTGGCTGGGGGGACAGCCTTTCTAGCCTCTGCAGGGCAGCGGGGTGAAGGCACCCCGCTGCCCTGCAGAGGCTTTGCGCAGCTAACCCCAAGCTAGAACAGCGAGACGGAGCACTGCACAGTGCTCCGTCTCCCTGTTCTGCCTTTGGGCTTAGCCGCGCAGCCTGCATTTGCTCTATAGGACGCACACACATTTCCCCTTAATTTTTGGAAAATACGGTAATTACTTAACCTGAGATACCACTGTAATAATAATAATAATTTTTTTATACCCCGCCCATCTGGCTGGCTCTGGGTGGCTCCCAACAAAATTAATGATGATGATAATAATAATAATAATAATGTGATAAAACATCAGACATTAAAAACATCCCTGAACAGGGCTGCCTTCAGATGTCTTCTAAAAGTCAAATAGTTGTTTATTTCCTTGACATCTGAAGGTAGGGCGTTTCACAGGGCAGGTGCCACTACCGAGAAGGCCCTCTGCCTGGTTCCCTGTAACCTCGCAGTGAGGGAACTGCCAGAAGGCCCTCAGAGCTGGACCTCAGTGTTGGGGCACAATGATGGGGGTGGAGACGCTCCTTCAGATATACTGGACCGAGGCCATTTAGGGCTTTAAAGGTCAGCACCAACACTTTGAATTGTGCTCGGAAACATACTGGGAGCCAATGTAGGTCTTTCAGGACCAGTGTTATATGATCTCGGCTGATGGATTTTCGTGCGAATTAAAAAAATGCAACCCAAATTATTAGAGAAATGTGAAGAACCGAATTGAAGATTGGAAAAATGAGGAAAATGAGAGAATGAAAATGGCAGGTCCGTCCATCCCTAGCTACGTGCAAAGCTGCTCACCAGGCTTTTGGTGCTTGGTTTAAATATACCGTATTGTTTGCTCTATAAGACTCACATTTCCCCTCCCAAAAAGTAAGGGGAAATGTGTGTGCGTCTTATGGAGTGAATGCAGGCTGCGCAGCTATCCCAGAAGCCAGAACAGCAAGAAGGATTGCTGCTTTCACTGCGCAGCGATCCCTCTTGCTGTTCTGGCTTCTGAGATTCAGAATATTTTTTTTCTTGTTTTCCTCCTCCAAAAACTAGGTGCGCCTTATGGTCTGGTGAGTCTTATAGAGCAAAAATTACGGTAGTTCTTGTCCCAGGAATCTTTGGAAATTGTAGATTGGTGGTGGTGGTGAGAATTTTGTTACAGATCCTTGGGCTTCCTACAAAGTACGACTCTCAGAATTTCTTGGTAGTTGGGATGTTACCCTAGGGGTGTTACCAGATGCACCCTAATGTTTCAAAAAACGGGATTGTGATGAGGGAAGCAGCAGTTGGGGAGAGAAAAGGCAGAAGGGAGAAGCAGACACAGAGATGCAGGCAGAATAAAAAGGCTGGAATGCCTGCATCTGCTTCTGTCTCATGGTTCTGTTTTCACCCAGGCTCCACTCTTCACCTTTTGCTCACACCAGGACAGGAAGATGCAGAAACCTTAATGTGTTTTGGTCAATTTGGGTTAGCTCATTGTCTGGTTAAATACAATGATCATGAAAATTGACTGTATCTTTGTTATAAACCTGGTTATCACAACAGCACGAAAATAATAATGGTTTTTTGTGTCTCATTTTTTAAAGTATTTTCAAGGTGAAGTTTAGATGTTAATTTAAAAAACATAGTTTACTTAAGTTTTAATTTGTTTGATGATAAAAATAAATCCCTTTATAGCAGAATATGTATTCAATTGTTGCTCGGTCCCTGCTCCTGCCAACCTAGCAGTTCGAAAGCACGTCAAAGTGCAAGTAGATAAATAGGTACCACTCCGGCGGGAAGGTAAGCGGCATTTCCGTGCGCTGCTCTGATTCGCCAGAAGCGGCTTAGTCATGCTGGCCACATGACCCGGAAGCTGTACACCAGCTCCCTCTGCCAATAAAGCAAGATGAGCACTGCAACCCCAGAGTCAGCCATGACTGGGCCTAATGGTCAGGGGTCCCTTTACCTTTTTATGTATTCAATAAATATGCATCTGTAAAATAAAATTAAAAAATCCCTAGGTGCAAACCCTAATGAAATTTGATGTACATTCCCATGGATGTAACTAGATATGCCCTTGGATTTAGTAGCAGATATACCGGATGTTTTCTGCTGGGGCAAATGTACACACTTCCTTACCATCACCATGAAAGGTTCAAATGTGGTCACTGTGCTGAATATGTAGCTGGAATCCACAGGAACCAGTCTCTCTACTTTTCTCTTATGCATCTTCTTCCCACCCTCCCCACCTCCCGGTTCTTGTTCAGTGTCTCCATCTATTGTGGGTGCAGATAATGACGGGGGTACCGAAGAAGTCACAGTTATTTTGAATAACCCCACATCACTGGTTTGCGAGGCTTATTCCTATCCCCCGGCTACAATCACCTGGCTAAAAGATGGAGCTCCCATAGAATCAAATAGGAATATCAGGATTTTGCCAGGTAATACATTTTTGTTTCTTTATATTATTTGGATTGCAGTTTTTGTCACTGTATTACTCAGAGAAGTCTAGGTGGGGCAGAAAGTGATGCACAAGTTTTACAGTGGTGCCCCGCAAGACGAATGCCTCGCAAGACGAAAAACTCGCTAGACGAAAGGGTTTTGCGTTTTTTGAGTCGTTCCGCAAGACGAATTTCCCTATGGGCTTGCTTCGCAAGATGAAACGTCTTGCGAGTTCTTGCGAGTTTGTTTCCATTTTCTTAAAGCCGCTAAGCCGTTAAAAGCCGCTAAGCCGTTAATAGCCGCTAAGCCGCTAATAGCCGTGCTCCGCAAGACGAAAAAACCGCAAGACGAAGAGACTCGCGGAACGGATTAATTTCGTCTTGCGAGGCACCACTGTACTCAATTCCTGCTCTTCAAGTGGGCAGAATTTAATCTGTTCTGCATCTTGTACAGCTATATTCTGGTAGGACGATTGCAGTTTTGTTTTTGTTTTAAATGTTTTACCACTTCACTTATCCCAAAAGCATTAGGAGCAATCAGATCGACTAAACATCTAAATATTCCCTCTACATAAGAATGAGCACATGAGGGAGAACACTAGGTCAGAACCTTTCTTCCTGGCATTTTGTTTCCATATGGAAGGAATGTTTTTTTGGAGGAACGTTGACTTACATGAGCTTCATTCTCATTACAAGAGAGAGAACCTTTTAATCTATTTTAACTGTGTAAACCTGAAGTTCTGGTTTATCCTTGAATCCCGCATGCAAAATGGTGACAGTCTAGAGCAGTCTTTCTGACTCTTGGGGCCCCAGGTGAACTACAACTCCCATCATCACTATCTAGCAAGACCAGTGGTCAGGAATGGTGGGAATTGTTGTCCAACAATATCTGGAGACCCAAGGCTGGTCCAGAATCACTCTAGCTAGAGCCCAGCTCCCAAGAATTCCTTTAGTTCTTCGGCTTTAGCATGTAATGAAGTAAGCATGGTTTCATTTTATTTCATTGACATTGTTAGCCAACCATGATTCAAGCAGAGTCCCTGCCTGTTTCAGAGGAAAGCATACAAGCATTAATTTAAACAAACCTTATTGTTTCACAGGTGGTCGAACTCTACAGATTCTGAATGCCCAGGAAGACAACACTGGCAGATACACTTGCATAGCTACAAATGAAGCGGGGGAAATGTTAAAACACTATGAAGTCAAAGTCTACAGTAAGCATGCTAACAATCTTGCTGTAATCCCTATACAGTGGTACCTCGGGTTACATACACTTCAGGTTACAGACTCCGCTAACCCAGAAATAGTACCTCGGGTTAAGAACTTTGCTTCAGGAAAAGAACAGAAATCGTGCTCCGGCAGTGTGGCGGCAGCGGGAGGCCCCATTAGCTAAAGTGGTACCTCAGGTTAAGAACAGTTTCAGGTTAAGAACGGACCTCCGGAACGAATTAAGTACTTAACCCGAGGTACCACTGTATTTTTTGTTTTATCGCCCCAAATTTTCTCTCTGTTGCTGCTTGGGATTTATAATGCAACCTCATTCAATGACTGAATTATTCACCTATGAACCAAAGTGAAGCCATATACCTACATTTTGTTTTGCTTCGTTTCTCCCTTGGCACGCTAGCGCCAAGTGAGGCAGCAGGGGAAAGGTTTGGAGTAGGGAGCTTATATGTCTGAGGGAAAGGAGCAGCCTGCCAGGTAGGCAGTGGAAGAGAGGCTGCTTAACTTTTTCTCTTCCAGCCATTTCCCCCATTCAAAATAGCTTCCAGCACCTGTTGTTGCAGGTGCTGTAGGAAAGAACTTTCTGCCTACAGGCAAAAAAGCAACTTGAAGTGTGGATATTTTTGAGTGGAAGGGGGAAAAGGCTAGAGAAGAAACAGTTAAGCAGCTTTTGCCATGCTTCCTCGCAAGACTGCAGACACCCATAGCTGCATTTCATTAAAAAATAAAGAAGGCATCTGTTTCGTGTGTATGTCATGTCTTCTATTGTCTTAGATTTTTCAGCTGGAAAGCCCATCAAAACAAAAACATCCAGTTGTTAGAGGAAAGGGCAAATGGTGGCCTCTTGTTGTACCTCAAGAGGAATACTGTTCCACACAATAGGGGCAGCCACACAGAAAGTTACTGCTCTGAGTTACTGTGGCACAGGCTTCTGCAATCTTTGGGACTTTCAGGAGAAACTAACTCTCCTGCAGACAGCAAGAATCTACTGGATGTATAAGGGATGTGGGTGGCACCGTGGTCTAAACCACTGAGCCTCTTGGGCTTGCCAGTCGGAAGGTCGGCGGTTCAAATCCCTGCGACGGGGTGAGC